TGTGATAAATTATCTATATAAATAGAAGACAATGTATATATATATATATATATACTGACAGTAGATCACATATACGAGATGTATTCACAATATTCAAATAGAAAGTAATGCAATCAATTGCTATAGCTAATACAAGTTTGCTTAATCTACAATCTTGCCACAGAAAATGATATGGGAAGAGGCTCAAGTTCACTCGTGGAATTTTGGCATAGTGTTAACGTGTCGAGACCCTAGGATGCACTAGGTGCTTTCAGTTCCAGTTTGCGGTGCTAATTAGACCTTGGCAAGATTGAAACTGCAGCGCGCTTTTGATGAGAATACCTTTTGATTAGCAATTCAATTTGAAATTGGTGAAGTTTACTCATTGTCGGAAAATTCAACTTAATCGCCTTCAAGGAAATGGGGTCAATATATATAATATTCGCCGTAAGTCAGTCTATCACTGCGATCGAGCGGTCCAAATTTTTTCATTTGTCAAAACGGCATTATAGTTTGCCGGGCCTAAGCTTTTGTTTAGTAGCTGTAACGACTTTGTACGTTTACTTTTATGTTGTTTGTATAATGCCGGATACTTCAATACACTTTGTCTTTACATGCTCTCGACTAGGTCTGGAAACAAGCCCGTGGGATTTGTCGGCCAACAACGAACTTCATGTGATTGGCGATATTTCTCTGGCTTGTCAGCAGTGGCTACTAACTTGCCTTCCAGCAGGTGTTACAGCAGCTACATCGGTGGCCGACCAGGCCGATTTTGCAATGGGAGTTGATGCGTTGACTTGGTATCGTTGTCGAGGGCGAAAGCTTCTTAGTGAGATCGCCAGATTTTGGGCATCTCGAATGACCTATTCTGAAGATAAAGCTGCCTTCGAAATCCTCGGTCAGTTGTGCTTGTGATTTCTTATTGAACGGGAAAGACAGAAATGGTGTGCTCACTATTGTATTTATCACCAATTCTGTTCGCCAAAATGGGACCTTGATCACAAGTTTAGGCTACATCATTTTAGTCTTTATACCATAGTATTTAAGCTTTGATTAACTAAATATAGTC